CAAACATTGAGGCATTCTGCATCCCCTTCTTCAAAGCTAATTGAGCATCTTAAGGCTCAGCCAGGTGACAGCTTGGAACAGTTTAAGTAGTCACCATTTTCAGGTGAAACCCTGTAACCAGTTCTGTGAAAGCACCTGCTCTTTTGAAAGTCGAAGCAAAGTAAGTCATGTTGAGCTCCTGCAGAAATGTTTAACTGAAATACATCAAATGCTTGTATAATCCATTAACATACTTTGCCTAAGGGGATGGCATCTTCCAACTAAACTATTAGAAATACTCATGTAACCAAGTTCTAAGAATTGCCTGCTTGTGAATTGCTAAGCAAAGGAGGAAGAATTATCTAGTCTTAAAAGACCATATAAGAATACACTGTTAGAATTGACTTAAGCCTGAGATCTCCTGTGTGTCTCCAAATACATATTCTACCGCAGCTCAGCATTTTACTTAATAATGAAATTACATTACCAAACGCCATTCCTAAACATATCCAAGCAACTCAAACTCATTACACATAGGCTACAGTAAGGGCATAGTCTATCCCTGAATTACACCATCTGGGACAAACAAAAGTTAGCACTAATTCTACAAAAAAAGGGTTTTGTTTCTGCTCTGCCCATCAAAATAATTTAAGTAGTCACCATCTTCAGTAATTCATTCTCTGAAAGCACTTACTCCTCTGAAAGTCTAGTTTTTCCACAGATAACTACTGCCTTCCAGTGTGTTCAAATATAAATAGTAGAGCACACAGATGAAAAATCATGTTTAATAATAGTAAATACCTGTTGACCAATCGTGAAATAGCTAACAAACTCCCCGCAATAATAATATCTTTCATACAGGAGACTTAAACCATTTTTAATCTGTAGGAAAACCTCCATAATACAGAACTCCAATATTCACAACACTCATCACTACAGTCTACTTCACATGCTTTATTAAATTAGCAATGAACTAGTAGATGCTTAACAGACAACTACATAGAACAGAACAAAACAAACACACAAACAGAACAAAGTATTTTTTAGAAGTCATAGCACATGAGCAAGCAGTTGATCCCCTATTTAATATCCTGGCTAATATTATTCACATGAAGCAAATCATGAACTCCTCCTTTTACATCACTCAGAGATCACCAATGCAGATGGCAAATACATGCAACTGGATCACTGTCAAAGCTGAAGACAAAGGAAGGCAAAATGAATACTAGAGCAATTTTAAATTGCCTTATGAATTCCCAGAGAAGCTGCATTAAAATTCAAAGTTAATAACCCACAATTTCCTTCAGAACATACCTAAACAGTTGTCAGCTCTTGCTGCCTCCAAAGCCTATGCAGTGGATTTGTCCCCACAGCTGTGTTTTAAAACAGCAGGACAGAATGAGAACAACAGATTAGTTCCTTGCAAATATAAATGATATCCTATCAAAGATGGTAACATCAGAAACTGTATATTGGAGAAAATAACAGTGCCTTAGAAATTAAGCAAGACATAATTTAACACATAGTGTGTTAAATGCTTATCCTTAAAAAAGAAAAAGAATAATGCCACAGATTTTGACTAAAAGAAACTGTCTACCCCAAATTCCACCAAAACAACACACTACGTCAGGCAAACAAGCTGTAGTATATCTTGAGCTTCACAAAAAGCATTATTTGCCTTTGGAAGTTTCGCAGGCTGACACCAATACTTCTCTGACCTCCTGATTGTTTTCAGAATGATATATTCTTTCTCCACAGGTACCCAAATCCTCCTCAAGAGACGAGTCCTTACTCCAAACAAATAATAATAAAAAAATAAATCTCAGATTCATTCACCGAGATATCAGGTGAAAACAAGCACTAACCAGTCTCTCTTCCACGACTTTTGTCTCCTTTAGAGAAGGACGAGAATGACAGTTCAACAACTACATCTACGCTACTGAAACAGACTTCTGCAACACAGCTGTACACAAGTCTCACATTGCCTTGCGCAGCAAGAATAGTCAGGTTCTTCATGGAAGACTTACATAATCTATTTGTCTGATAGTAGCGTTAGGATGCTGCTGGTGACAAAACAGTGCTTGTTACTGAGGACACAAACATATCAGTAGTATCAACTCAGGCTTTTCAATGTTAGTTTTACTCTGACACTTCCTCAAAGTTCATCAGTAAGAGCAAACCTGCAGTAATTATTATGGGTACAGTGGAGAATAGGATTGCCATTTGGAGGAACCATGACAAGCTAGAGAAATGGGCTGATAGAAGACTCATGAAAATCAAAGACAGAAATATGCAACAGTCCAGGCTGGGGCCTGCCTAGGGAGCAGCTCTGCAGAAAAGAATCTAGAGCTCCTGATTGGAAGGAATGTCCTATAAGGAGCAGCTAAGGACCTCACAGGCTTGTCTAGTCTGGAGAAAGGAGGCTGAGGATTCACCTGAATGCTCTCTACAGCTGCCTGAGGAGGAAAAGTGGAGATGGAGAGAAGCTGATCTCTTCTCCCTGGTACCCAGTGACAGGATGTGTGGGAATGGTTCAAAGCTGTGTGAAGGGATGTTTAGACTGGACATGAAGAACCATTTCTGTACCAAAAGGGCGGTCAGACACTAGAACAGGCTTCCTAGAGAGGTGGTCGATGCCCCAAGCCTGTCAGTGTTCAAGGGGCATTTGGGAAATGCCCTTAGTAACATGCTTTTAACTTCCAGTCAGCCCTGAAGTGGTCAGGCAGTTGGATGAGATGATTGTTACAGGTCCTTTCCAACTGACATAGACTATTCTATTTTATCTCACCCACCCTTCTATTTACAAATGAATGATTTTCACAGCAAGGCACATCCAGGATGAACAATGAATCCCACCAAGGCATTCCAAAATCAGTTTTTAGACCAGAACCATTCTGGCCTGAAACTCTGACTCTGAAATGTCTGGATTTTGGCACACGGCTCATCAGCCTGCATCAACTCATGTAAGATTCAGAGGAAAGAGATACTCTGAAGCTCGGGCTCCTCCCTTCAGGCTCTATGCAAGATCTGCTAAAGAACTTAGTTGTGCTGGAAATAACTTTTCATTCTTTTGTTTAGGACATGCCAGACAGTATCCGCAAGAACATTAAATTGTCACCAGGCTACCCAAAATGAGGTAACTGTTGGAAGAGACTCAAGTATTTAACTTTGATACAAATTCTTAAGTACAAAGAAAGTATGTTTTTTTAAAAAGTTGCCAAAGGAAAATCAGGCAGTGAATGTGACAGTAAATACTGAACATTGATCTGAAAGAGAAAAGACACAACTATGCTGGGAGACTGCAGTTTTCCTTGGCAAAACTAGATTTAAATATGCTTAAGTGACACAGCTCTGACCCTATTATGATGTAATGTCCAGTAAAAAATAGTAAGTGCTGCTTAATATCTTCTCTTCATGACATTTTCCTTCTTCTGTATCAATTACAAGAATTTCAGTATAAGAATACTACTAAAATTACACAGACTTCTAAAAGGTATCCAAATGGCCTTCACAAGTTGTACAAGCACTCAGAATATTCCTAATGAGAGTACACATCACATTCTTAAATCATTCTTGAGGTGTCCTCCGTAACAAAATCCTATATGAAAGTCCTATATGAAACTCTCCAAGGTAGTCCTAAGAATTTGGCTCTTGAGTTAATGCAAAAATTATTACGCCCGCCATACAGGTCTACCTGTACCAGCAAACCGGAGAGCACATTGCCAGTATATTGCTTTGTCTAATTTACTCCAGCATTAACAGAACAAATACCAAAGCACAACCATACCTAGTAAAATAGGTGGGAAAAGAACAAATGAGCGAACAAGATCCCAAGGCCAATTTTCATCAAGAAATTATCTCAGTTGAAAAAACCGAAACCTACTCGAAAGGGAGAAAAAAAGCAAAAGTGAACAGGAATCACTATAAATATAATTTGAAGTGGTAATATTTAAGTTAAACTTGATATCAGAAATCATAAAAAAAGTTCCAAAACATCTAAATACAAGCAGCAGGAGCTACTCACAGCATCTTAAGAGCTCACTGTGGACTAACCTGCCCCCCGCCTCAGCCTACTCTAAGCTCTATGATGCCATGACTATGTTGTAAAGTTAGATCACCTAAAGCCAGCTCAGGTACCTCTGTAATATACTGCCAACTCCGGTTAAATGTTACAGGCCATGCCTATTGAACTGGTATTATACAAGCTTTTCACAACACAGCTCCTCACAGGAGCTTCACCAAATGATCCTCATAATTCCTGTGGCAGGGCGCATTCAGAGAGCAGATTGCATGTCCTGTACAGTTTTTCATAATCATGCATTCATGTATTATTGTGTGCTTATTTACCAGCGTGCCAAGATAATTTTTCCACAACTGTATCTGAACTGCCAACCTGCATTCGGATCAAATAATACAACGGATCTAAAAGCTCACTTGAAAGAATATCTACAATGGAACTGTTCATGTTAAATAGAGCTGTCTTACAAAATCTCTGAGTAACACTATATTCAGTATGTATATGACAGCACTTGCATATTCCAGGAATTTAGAAGGGTTACTCATATGAATAATTCTGTACAATTCACTAAAAATACAATTAAGGTTCCTAAAGATCATTTCCATTTAAGCCATCCCAACATAATGGCATAAAGTGTACTAAAATATTTAAGAATTTACATTCATAGGTTTCATTTCTTTCAAAATGCTTATTAAAATATTTCTTTATGCTTCTAAACAATAAAACATTTAACAGATAAGCCTATTATAAACCAGACTTTTCTTAAAATAAATTCTTAGTGTTTAACGAGAATTAGGAACAGCAACCCTTCCAGCTCTTCTAACAATAAATACCTGCTAAAGCACGTTTGGTTGGTTGGTTGTTTTTAATATTTTATGAGGGTATAAACATTAATAAATTCAAACCACATCAAGCTGACACTTTTAGTTTTGCTGTATTTCACTGAAAAGTATAAAAGAAAATATACACAATGTAAAATTTAAGGGGCAAACAGAATGCTTACTTTCTCTAAATGCTTTACAGTAGCCAAGGAATGACAACAAAAAGAAGAGGGCACACAGGAGGTCTGCTCTGCCAACAATCCCAGCAACCTTAAAAAAAAAAAAAAAAAAAAAGAGAGAAAAGTTTCAGATTACCAGATTTTATTCTTAGAAAACCTGAGATAAAGGTATACACACATACCAAGTGAAATGTATAAAATAATATTGCTACATCACTTTACTTTTTTTTTTTCCTTTTTTTACACTGGTTTACTGGATAAGTGATACACACTTTTGTAAGCCACATCCTGATTTTGATTGGGTATTGCTTAGTATCAACTAAGTGAATGGTTTGGCTTTAATTTATGAAAATTTGCTGTTTTAAGAAATAAAGAAGGACCTCACTGGAAAAAAATGCTCCATTCCATCTGGGTTTTTTTGGATCATGTTGCCTTTCAGTAGAATTTTTAACAAAAATCCTGAACCCCAGTGAAATCAGCAGCTCTGCTGAAATGCAAATTAAGACTGTCCACTTTCAGAAGACAAGCCAGCCATCGAAGTGCAGTCTGAACATTCAGAATAGATAAATAGCTTCTAGCCTGCAGAATCAGGAAAAAAAAAATCTCCCCTCTGACAGCTTTTTGTGTTCTATTAACTGATTGCATTAAAGATACCTTCAAATACATCTTGTAACAGAAGCTGTACTAATGCAAAAGAAAATGAGAAGCACATTCTGGGACCTCCATACTCCTGATCTGTGCCAATCTATTTAAATCAAGGGCATTCTCAGGGCCATCACCAAGCTTTGGTTCAAGCCCTTAAACTGTATTCACAGTAACTTGCTGAGACACAGCATGACATATTTTTGGATCTTCATTCCTCAATTACAAGTGTCAGATACATGATGAACTTTTTGTGGAAATCATAACATGGGGCTGGCAAGGGACAGTATAGGCCCTGATGCTGGGACCTCACTAGAACATACACCCAGAGCAAGGATCATGGAAAATACCCCTTACATTTTAGTCTGGCTCTACTTCCTGGAGTACTGGGTTCCATGTTTACAGGAGAAAATGCATATAGAGGCCTTCTGGATGCAGAGCAGAAGACTTCCAGGTTTGGTTTTTTTTTAATGTCCTTTTTGAGGTGATGTTTCAGGGACAAAAGCACAAACTGTTTTTTGTATAGCACACCAGTTGTCCCATTTTCTGAGTGGAACAGAAAGAGGAAAGTAGAAAGTGTATCTGCATTTTGTTTAAAGCTGGTTGCTAACATGTCTTATGAGAAGGGCATTTTTTGTACAAGTATGAACTGACGGAACAACTATTACTGAGTAACATCAGAGAGAGAAGCACAGAGGCATGAGAGTAGGACCGAATACACTGAAGAGACTCTCCCCTACTTTACCCTCAGCTTCACTTGATAGCGTAAAAGGAGAAACTGTTGGACTCCCAAATGCAGTTCAGAGAAACTTATTAATTTATCCAAAGCCATGCATCTAACTTCCCTGCTTCTTTTTCTGTTTTATAAAGATACTAAGAGAATTAACTCAATGGCTGTGGACTGCTTTAAAATAATGACGTGTCATTCTGTTTCAGGAGCTACTCTCAGCTAATGAGATAAAAGTAAAGGTGAACTGACACAATTTTGAAAATAAATGACAACTTGTTATAACAAAGAGGTTAAGAGGGTAAAAAACACACATATGGCCTCAGATGACTCCAACAGTACAATGTTATCTCAAATGCAGGATCACGTCTGTAGTCCCGGTAACAAGGTAAACAAAAAAAACCCCCCACAGTTTTAAATTAGCATCAGGAATATTCTTATGTCTGTGTTTCATTTAGTATTCCATCGCTCAAGTGTTACAAAGAATAACCATTTTATAGAAGAGAAGACTGCACCACAAGAGTGTTTACATGTAGGTAGAAAAATGACAGCTGTTTTTCTTACATAGGTACTGAAAGCTGTAAACTTTTCAAGATCTGTTTTATGCGTCTGTTTTGTGCTGTATATACCAAAATCCAAAGCAGCAAGCAGACAGATTCCTCACAATTTTATGTCAAAATATGTCATCTCATTTCAAAACCAAGATGTCATGATACTTAAAACTCACAGATTTAAAATCATGAAGAATGCTTTTTGAGGAGATGCTGCCTGATACACACTCATGCTAGAACCATAGCAGTATGATGACTGCTTCAGTGCAGCAAGATTTATTATTCACCACATAAATGATCAGAGGCCTTTGTTTACTCCTGGATCTTAGAAGACATATGGTATATAAGCATCCTACCTTTTTACTCTTCTTCCAAGGTTTGCGCTAAGTATACACAAGTCTTCAAACCTCATATATGCAAGCAAACCACTTCACTTGTAATTTATTTGACATGACCAAGGTCTTACTAACATTTGCCTGCTGATTTAAATATATTTTTAGAGTTAAATGGAATGCAGATGATGATTATGGATAATAATAAAGGAGTCAATAGGAGTTTTATTACAAAGTTAAGACTCAAGTGAGATTTCTCTTTACATGTCAGAGCATCAAAAGCACTGAAGACTCATTTTACTGCACTTTGACATCTAGAACTGGTTTTGGAGAAAAGAAATACAAGGGGCCCTTCTGACACCAGCACAACATGCCCTCACAAAGAAGTTATTCTGCAGGCAAGCAAACACCAGAGAATGACTGACAGAATGTGTTAGCCACACTGCCAAAAAAGGTGCCAAATTACTAATACCCGACTTTGTACCATCTCTAGGTTTCCAATGCATGCAGAGTCCCCAGTCAGCTGAGAGGCATAGCTTTCCATAACCTCTTCCCCATCAATCATGTGCAAAGCAAATGAAAAAAAGCCAAAACCACAGCATATTGTGAATAAATGAAAAATCAGTTCCACACATATACAAGGTACACTGAGGATTCAGTGTTCATTACTAGCACAGAGATCAAAGTTAAAGTTAGTACTTTTTCTAGTAGCTTAGTCCTTCCAAACTCTAAGAGGAATGATTCCTGCATTGCAATTTTTTTATTTTTTATTTATTCATTATTACAAGATCAAGCAATCAGGGACCACATCCAGCAAGCCCACTGGCATAAAGGCCATTAGATTTTCTTAGCTGTGAGTGCAAAAAGAGAGTTTTAAAAAAACCCTGTCTCCTCCCTGTTCACTAGAATTTCCACACAAGAACTTTGATCTTTGCCACACATGTGCCATGTTTCTATTCTGCATCTTTACAGCTTTAACTTTCAGCCATTGTTACTCTTTTGTCTGCATTATTAAAGGGCCCACTACTATGAAATCTGTATTCTTCACATACATAATTACAGACTGTGATAAAAAAAAATAAATCCTTTCATCTTCTCCTTCATATTAAAATATAAACCCACGGAGTTTGATCTCTCATGACATGGGATGATTTCCAGTCCTTTAATCATTTTCATGGCTCTTCCGAGACCTCTCAATTTTTCCTAGTGTTGTCCTTGCAGCATGGATTCAAAACTAGATGCAGTATTCTAATACACTCATATACAGAATTCATATAATACCCCTACTCCAATTTTGTATCTCCTTGTTTTTTTATCAAAGCAAATACAAATGAAAAGTAATTAGGGAAATTCAGTAACTAGGGAAACTGTAGTTTAGGGCTATCCTTCTTTAGTTACTGTACTTAAATGATTTATCTTCCTCAATAAGGTCCAGCCCTGTAGAATTACAATCTTTTGAACATACTGACCATAACATTTGATGGTTCTCATAAGACGTGTGCCAAGAGAAGTACTGAGAATATATAAAAGCAATGTGTAGAGTATAAGACTGTCAGAATTAATTAGTCAAGATCATCAAGAATTTCTAAGATATAAATCTTTGGAGCTCATTATTCACTACTTACACATTCGGTGTGCACTGGATGTACAGCAAACAGCAAAGCAGCTAGAAGAGATGTCTTTGGAGCCAGGTTTAGCCTTCTTCCTTTATTACTGAATTGCAGTCCACCCAATAATATCGAGAATACATCAACCATCAACACTGAGATAGTACAATGCAGTATTATATTGATGACATGAAAACCAACTGGGTAGAAGCCTCCAGCAAAAAGGTAATTAATTCTATACAGAAACAAGAACATTAAGGCTAGGAATTACATCAGTGGGTAGAGATATGCAAACAGAAAACTTAAAACAATCCCATAGCAAGATCGTATTAAGTAGCACAACTCCCCTTTCCCCCACCAAAAGAAAAAAGCTGAAAAAAACCCACCAAATCCCAGCATGCATGTTATTACCACCGAGCCAATACAGTTGGCTAGAAACTATGTCCTGATCTTTACTCAAAGGTATTCATATGGGATACCATATTCAGCATAGTATCTATCCTCTCCAAAGACATATGTTAGTGCTATTATGTTAATCATACCTACGGTTACTTAGAAATTACTTTTGGTCAGCAACATAACTTCAATGCTGGAATGCAGGAGTGTCCTTGTGGAAAAAAAACAAATCTACTGGGGGGGATACCCTTGCGCTTAAGAGCAACTATGTCCAAAACTAACTGGATGAAATTATTTTAATTAAATCCACACAAAGAAGAAATTAATATGCAACTCAGACTATGATTTCCACTGACATTCTGGCTGAAAAATGTCCTAGCATTTGGACCGGCAATGTGGAAACCATCTGGGTACAATCAGTATACATCCAGAAAGTAGTCAGCTAGCACATCTTAGTAACTGATCTGTGCGATTGGTTACAGAGAGATTTAATATGAGTATTAGAACCAGAAGGAAGTGTAAGTGAAAATTCAGTCACAAAACCCTGTTCAAGATTAGAACTCTGATAAAATGGAGAGGGAGAAGAAATGGGAGAAACATCTTGTTATTTTCCACACACTTTTATCTGTAGGTGAGATATACAGAAACTTAGTGTGAATAGGGAATTTTATATAGTTCATTTGGTCAGTCTGCATCTGGCTTATGTGAAATCTATTAAAAAACTCTAACCTATTATAAATGTGATGCACATAAATTGGAGCTTAGGGAAAATTAAGAAAACCAATTTCTTACTTGTGAAAATAGCATTTTACGGACCATCTTCACATGCTCATATATATTTTCAGATATAGTAATAACTGTATCCCAGTTCACTCTTTAAACTAACCAAGATGTTACTAGAGATGCAATATACCAGAGAGACCTTGAAACTAAAGGAAAGCATGTGCTATTTAATGCACTGGAAACTTTAATGGGTTTAAGACTCTGACACTTTCTATTCATTTGCATATTTTCCTTCATGACAATGTGAAGAAAGCCCAACAGAGAGTGAAACCCACAGTGCCAAGTACTTAAAATGCTTGATACTGCATTCAAAAGTCAAAGTTTTTGCTTGAATATGAGGACTAAGAGTGGGAGTGCTTCTGCAGTCACTTAGTCCCTGCCTAGACTGGACACATCTGCAGAACCAGTGCTAGGTCCCCATCCACAACACTGAGTTGCATGGGGAAAATAAAGAACCTTAAGATGAGTCCTCAAAGATTTTCTGCATTACTGTGCCCAGTTTCTACATGGTTTACTCCTTGCTCAAATTCCTGTGCAAAAAACATGAGCTAAGCATCTATACGACTAATCCTCATAAACGTAGTTATTTGAGAAAACCAGCAAGTTATATATACAGGCAGACATCTTCCCAACTAGGATTCTGAGGCACAAACATGAACTATCAGGGAGGGAAGAGGTGGGAAGACTGTTCAGTGACCAAGTGGCAAAAGGGCACAGTAGATTGATGCTATTTATAAGAAAACCCCATTTAACAGGTCACCAGAAGGCAGAAAACAGAAACTACAATAGAAGTATAAGTGGCAGCATCGCTAAGTGAAGGGAATATACACCTCTTAGGCCTCTGATGATGTGACCTACATATTGACCCATACTGCCCCTAGTACCAGGGTATATAAGAGCATAAGATGCAACCTCTAAAAGCTACAGTAAAATACAGAATGTCAAAATAATGTATACTTTGGGAAAAAAAAAATGAAAATTAAAACTCAAATTGAGATTAACAAACAGGAAAACCATATCCCGGAAAGGTATGCAATAACCCTCCAGGTACTTTGTCGTTCCCTTTTTCTGCTTCCTCCTGCCTATTATCAATTGAGTGAGTGTATGTTAAAAAAAATTCAGACCGTGAGAAAAAAGACAAATCTCACCTGAAAGTTATGACAGTTAGCGGTCGATATGACTTATGACTGGTATTGCTGCTGAGCTTGCTACCCCAAAAGTCATGATGCCACAGGTCACCAAGTGGGGTTTCTGCCCTGAGGTCCTAAAAGGAAACATCATAAATTACCATATTCTTAACATTTCTGTTTTATTCAAGGCAGCTAAAACACAAACAAGTTCTAACCAATACAAGCTCATGCTAACATGGACATAGGAGGTGCTTTCTTGGCTCACTACTGATAGGTCACATCTTGGATGCCTGTCATCATAAAGACCAAGATGCTTGGATTCTGTAAGTAGGCATAACTACATGAAATTTCGTACAGCTATATGTGTTCATATCAACTGATAACCTGGTTAACAGCTGAGATACAAGACACACACAAAAAAACCTTCCACGTTATAGTTTTGTAAAAAGCCTTTGATGTTAGGCCTAGGTTATCTTGTGAAGGAGTCCAACTACAAACCGCTGCAAATACCCATGTTTCTACCAGTGTCAGTAGCACAAGTACTAGTGAAAGGAAGGAGACCAAAGACAGAAAACAACAATTAGCTCTTTTTGAAGCCTTACATGGCACAGGACCCTATTCAAGTATCCCCCCCCCCCCCCAATCTCTTAAATTCTTAGCACATGAAACCAAGAATCAGAGTATCTACTGTTTTAAAATATTAACAGCAGAAGACAGAAAAGTAATGAATTATTTTAAGTTGGGGTGGGGTAGGGGGCTATTAAAAAAAAAAAAACACACTGCAAAGGAAATCTCTACTCTTTCCTTTTATCTTAAAGCCATGATGATAATGAAAATATCCAAATAACCTAGACTATTGAATGGAAAATATACACCTTGGAGAGGAAAAAAGGACCTTGGCAACATCTGCTTCTGTCTTCCGAGAGGACAAGCTAAGAAGCTCCAACTAGTCATCTTCTACTTGCCCCTCATCCTCCTTCGTTGTGGCAATTAAATACAATTTATGCTATAGCAAAAATGTGCAGGTTAAATACTCTCAAGACAGAACCTAAGAACAAAATTGTACTAGGAAATTAACAGCTTTCATATGAGTGTTGGTATTACACCTTCAATCAATCATGAATTACTCCACACCCCACCCACCTTCTCCTCTGAAATTCTTCAGGAAACCAACAAACCAAAGCAGATTCTCTTCATCAGGGACTGTAGTAATAGGACAGGGGGTAATGTGTTAAAACTTACACAGGGGAGATTTAGGTTAGCTATAAGGAAAAAGTCCTTTACTATGAGGGTGGTAAGGCACTGGAACAGGCCGCCCACAGAAGTGGTGAATGGTCCACCCCTGGCCGTGCTCAAGGCCAGGCTGGAGAGAGCCTTGGGCGACATGGTCTAGGGTGAGGCATCCCTGCCCATGGCAGGGGTCTTGTAACTAGATGATCTTAAGGTCCTTTCCAACCCAAACCATTCTATGAACAAGCCAATACAAACACAAGCAGACAAACCAGGCTGGTAAACCCATGAAAGATTTTACAAGGCCTGGTGTGCAATGGCTTATTCCTCCTACGTCTCCATCTACTTACAAGATTCCCACATTACAATACTCCTGGATCACTAACTCCAGTTCTTCTCAAATGCTGCTACCATTTCACTTGCTTCTACAGTATTCTGAGCACCTCCTGCAGTCTCCAGTATCTTCCATCTCATCCTTAGATAGCATTATTGGCCTGCTAACAAGGCAAGAGAGAACACATACAACTGCTAGTATAGCCAAATGTCTGGGCCATGATGACTGGCTGCTGCTAAACTGAACTTAAAATAACTCCTTTTTTCCTGCTTCTCTCAACACATTCTGACTTTCATCCATACAAAAATAAAAAAAATCCCATGAAGAGATTTATTTCTATCACTTACAGAATCATAGAATCATCTAGGTTGGAAATACCTTTAAGATCATCAGTTTCAACCATTACCCCAGGACTGCCAACTTGATCAAATCTGGACAGTACTGGACAACTGGATTAAAAAAATAGGAGGGAGAAGTAGGTTAAAAATCCTACCACATTGTCAAATGAAGTGAAACATTCACTAATAGGCTACTAATCAATACACAGAAAAGAGAGCAGAGCTAACATCATAGTCATATCCTGCAGCTGTTAATTAAGGCATTCTCAGGGAAAACCTTAAGAAAGACTCACAGGGGATCCTATTTGAGCTTAAGAATTATCAAGGTGCAAAATTTCTTCACTCTCTCATAGATGTTTCTACTACCAAGCGATAGCTACAAATTTCTTTCTTCTCCGAGGACTAATTTTGGCCTTAGGCACCCAAATTCCTGTCCCACTCCTTACTGGTATGCATACACCCCAAAGGTCATAATTTGACTCTCGGAGCCGGAGTGCATTCAACCAGGAGTCCAATAAATCAATACAGCCTGCTTTTCCAAGGGCAAGTTGGGACAAGGTTGTACACCAGCATATACTGAAGTCTTTGTGTTCTGCAGGGCCTGACTGCCAGTGATCATTGTGGCTTCAGATTTCAGGTTTTTCCAACCAACAACACAGCTCCTTATGTACATTTGCCAAAGAAAGGGACTATGAAAAATTTTTTTTTTGTATTAAAATTTTAGAAGTATGTCTTCTATGTCACAGATGGTCTTCAGTAACGAGATGTGAAATACACTGGCGATGTGAAAGGCTAGATTTCCCTTTCCGCTAGAATCAGCCTTCTTTTGTCTTCCATAGGAAGCATGCAGGAAAAGCTGAATACACAGAATTCTTAGTGATTAGATTACACTTCCATATGACCTAAAAAATCTTCAGTCATGTATCTTGCTGTTGAATCCAACTTCTGTGATAAAAAGTTTATTGTGTTAGTTTTCCCACTTAGTAGACTTACCCTAAAACAGGAATGGCTTGCTCTAAGAGACACAGAGATTTATAAATTACATATGATTTTCTCTTTAAGAACTGAATGTAGGCAGCCAAGAATCTCTAAATATTTGATTATCAGCAGCTTACAGACAGCAAAGTTCAATACTTGAAGAAAGGTCAGGTTTTCTATATAAAGGCTTATAATGCGTCTGAAACTCTTCCTAATCCAACTATTTGCCTTGCCAAGCTAGCAAATAAATAAAGACAAAAGTCACTATTGTGTACCAGTGAAAATGCTGCTTAAAATGTCAAGAAAGCATCTGGAAAACAGGCTTGGACCCCAATATAAATCTAATAACAGAATGTTCCACAATACAGTAGGCATGAAGTCAGCTAACTGTATTTTTCACTAAAAAAAGTAAAATAAAAAATAAAAAAATTGAAGATTGGTGAGCTGGTGGGAGCTAGTAAATTAACAAAAAAGGTCACTGTGTGGTACCCAAGAAAATACTGGTATAGTAATGGTCAGTGGATCTACAAAATTACTTCACCTGCTGTCTCTCCTATTGAATAGGAATAAAATAGGCTATACTTTTAATAAACTGTGCCTTTGCTAAATGCTTTTCCTCACCATTAAGCTGGTAAACTCACTGTCTCTGCATTTTTCTTGTGGGTTTTGCATTTTCATATATTCATACGACCCCTGTGTTAAAATGATAACTGTCACAAAAATCTCATTTAATTTCTAGGGAATAATAGAGGATTTTGCTGTGAAAAATAGAATAAGCCTCCCAGTTTTTCAGACTAGGTATGAGTTAATCTATTTAAGCAGTTGTTTGAATTTCTCAGCATTGCCAACAGCTATAATCCTGGTGCAGGTTGTTTTGTTGCATAGATAAACTGAAACATTTTGAAAGTAAAGTTTGAAATTGCACTTGAAGAAAACAACCTGCCTTTTTTCAACATCAATGTTTTGTACATTCTTTCAGGAAATTAAAATACTATAATCATGGCCAAAATAAAACTTTGCAGAACAAACCACTGCCAAGAGCTGTGTAATTTAAAATATAATGCTTCTTAAAAAGAATAAAAATAGTGTCTATGGCATTCTCTTAGAATGCCTTGAGATTTATTTCTAATTTGGCAGATGTATTTTCCCCCATACACTTATAATTCAAGGTAGGATGACTTAAACAAGCATAATACAAATTTGTCTAAGGAAACAGTGATTCTGTGAGATTCTAAAAGGCACACTGAAGTAAGTTGCCTCTAAATCTTGTGCAAGGAAAAAAATTGTGAATTGTAGTCTTCTAATTATATGAGTTTCCAGATTATCCTCCTTGTAAACCCATGGCTTCAGGAAAACAGAACCAGCAGATGAGGGTGATTCTTTTTACCCTGTGCTTCTCTTGCCAAGCATTTAACATTCCAGAACAGCATAAGAGCTGCAACGCCAAGACCCACTCATGAGCACTAACTGCTACATGTGATTCTAAGAAGTGTCTCAGCAATTGAAGACACTCAACTCCACACAATCAAAAAAAACGCAGCTAGAGGCCTGTTCGAAATGCATGTTAATTTCAGGGATTGTTCATTGTATGTATGATCAGTTTTAAGACAGACCACAAGAATATTCTGCCTCTATTTCAAAAAAAATACTGGTGTCACAGGAACTTTTAAGGGGGGAAGGAGCAAAAGAAAAAGATGTTTTTCTTGCTCCTATAACTTTTTAATGGTAGAAACCACAGCTGGAGAACCTCATCACCCTACAATCACTTAATGATGCATTATGCACCCTGTAACCAGAGTAAGTTTATTCATTGGGCTAATTCATCTGAGAAGATAATGAAAAAATCTCCTATTAACATCAACAGGTGTTCGAAAAGTCCACTCCATACACCCACTCACATAGAAATGAGCCTAAAATTAGGTCTATAGGCAGGCTTGATGTACAGGTGTTCTGCGAATAAGTGTTACTAAATATCACATCCAGATCTGCTGCAACCCTAGCTAATGTTTTCTTAGATAACAAGCAGACAAATTCCTTCCCTTTCAGAAGGTAACACTTGTTAAGCAGAGCATCTCACTTGCAAAAGAATGAAAGGGGGCACATTTAGAGAAGGGAGGGGAGGAAGCTGTTTAATTTGTTCACTCTTTTGTTATGTACTAGAACCCAAGTCATGTTATTCAGATAGCTTTAGGAATAACATTTTGTTAAGCATACTTATGCTTCTAGCTTTTTGTTAGAGCACTGCTGCATACCTTGTTTGGTAACCTTAAATAAGGCTTACTTAAAAAAACTCAGACATAATAAAACAAAACAGAAAAATGAAGTTAAAAAAAAAATGGAATATCAGAAGGAAGTTCTTTACTAGGATCTACTGAGATCAACTGTTGTCATTACATCTTCTCCTAGGACCATTTATGTCAAAAGGCATGGGGCGGGGGGGGAAGAGAGACAAACCTTATTATTGATGATGGCTTCAGAGTCATCAAAGACAAAATCTCCATCATAGCTGTTAGCAAAACAGAGGAAGGAGATTAATGCCACAACCATTTTAGCCCAGTATGACGGAAGGATGAACCATGATACACCATGGTCCAGATTAGGTTCTGTTTGTGCCATTCTGTGAAATGCTTGTTCCAAGTTGGGAGCTTCAGCATTATGTTGGTTGCAAATCTGAAAGAAATACATATAAATGCAGTTATAGTTGCATTTCATTAAAAAAATAAAAAAATGGAGAGTGGAGCTAGGAGACTGAAGTTTCATACAACCTTTTTTTCATCTCAGTGCATTTCATAATTACTGGAACATATTTAAGCATAATTTTGTACTTCGAATGTGGAAGAAAGGCACAGTTTCTCATGGTTGAGGCACAGAGATAAAGTCAAGATGTTCTTAGATTCTAAGCTAAAGCTTCGGCCCAGGTAAATTCTAAGACCCTGAGCAAATCACTGTATTTCTGTTTCTTACTATTCTTTTCTAGTATAACAAACAGACATCATGAGCACTGTGGAGCATTATAAAGATCTTAAGAGAATGATAAGCACTATAATTTCCTTCTGAATGTGGAAAAACAAACATCATCAATTGCAAAAAGAGCTCAACTCTCTTCTGTTAATCAAATTAAAGGACTTAGTCTTGCATATAGCCCATACAGGGAATTCATACAAACATCACAGGTAGACATATGACATATACAGATAGCAGTTAATGGACTAGGCCCTAAATCCCAACAATGCAAACAATAAGACAACAAGACACATACATTAAGACCAAAGCAGTGTTCACTAGATCACTCTGCATGCTACAAGTACAGTATAGGCTAAATTCCACTGCTGTTTTTGTGGGCTTATGAGGTTGTTAAGGTAGACGACAAAGGCCAGTGCAACCAAACAGCACATCAGTGTGGCGGTACTAAGGCTGGAGGTTTACCCATGAGCCACCTTTACTTAGAAGGGTTCCTTTCAATGCTCCAAAGCCAGTCCTCTGCCTGGACAGCTATTCTGCCTCTGCTTCTCATTATTGTACAAGTATTGTGAGTGGTCTTATTAACAAGTACTGCTATAAATGCCAAGGGGGAGAGGTTATAAATCGAAAACTGCAGTAAAAGGAGGGCAGAATATAAACTGCTTACTTATAAGCCCCAAGAATGACAGGGACATACAGTAGCCCTGCTTCGTACTTTCTTCTTATTTACTGGCTTTTAAAAATCAACCACTGCACCCTGAAAACACTGCATTTAATGTCTTCATACAATCTAGGAAAAAGCTCCAGCCGTTTGGCTTCTTGAACAGACCTGAACATTAGAGCTGATAAAGCAATTGCTTTGTAGCTTTCTGTTTGCAACGCTGAATTCCAGTCTCCACATAGTCCCCGTCTCTGTACACATACATGCACAGGGAGGACAGGCAGTACTCCCCAACACACCAGTGCCCCTTCTCGCTTTGGCGACTATACAGCAGCGCTCCCCCATTAAGTCAGTAACATGGTGCTGAGCAACCTGAGAGTGAATGGAGCTCCTCAGACGAGTGAAGCAGAGCAGCCGCTTCAAGAGTGAAAGCCCGCCTCAAACTAACTCGCCCTTGTGCTCTTAGTTTGAAGAAAACAAAGAATAAAAGACTGCTAAGCAGAGGGAAGGGTATTGTATCGCTCGTAATCGCACAGACACACCACCGATGCCCACTACCCAAATAGAATAGTTAAATCTACCCCAAAGTAATTCTGCCCTGAAAGTTTCTCCCATTACGCTTGCTCTGTTTAGCTGATGTCCATCTGCTGCCAGTCCTCTCCCCGCAGTCCAGACGAGGCCGGTCCCTGAGGGCTCCCTTAGCACAGCAACGCGTTAACCGCCTAGGCGCTCTAATCACCCCCGAGGTACTGCGACCCCCCGCCGCCACACACACCCTCCCCCTCCGAGCGGCGGCACCAAGGGCTCTCCGGCTGCCAGCCGGCTCACACGCTACTGCTCCGCCGCCCCTCCAGGGAAAGGCGACCCCGAGTCGGCCTTACAGAGCGCATCCCGAAGCAGAACTCCTGGGGCGGGGGGCGGGGAAGGAATGAGGGGCGGGAAGTACGGCTCCAATACCGCGCGTCCCGACGGAGAGGCTCCCAGCCCAGGTCACAGCGGCCGAGGTGCGCGGAGTCCCGCAAACCTGAGGCCGTCCCAGGAATGCAGCCAGCCCGGGAGGGCTGCAGGGCGGACAAGCCCTGCCGGGAGTTCGGCGCCGGCCCTGCCCCACTCGCCGCTCGCCTTTTGTCCTGGCGGCGGCCCCGCATGTGGTGTCCCGTGTGCCGTCCCGCTCCGGCTCTCAGTCGTTCCCCCCTCCCGCGCCTCCCGGGCCAGTTCCACCAACGCTCCAGCCAGCAAACGGGGCAGGGGCAAGGGCAACCCCCCCTGGGCAGGGCAGGGCAGGGGAGAGCAGGGCAGAACACAGCAAGACCGAACCATGTGCCCCGCACGGTGTTACCTGCAAGAAGAAGGAGCCCGCGTCGCATCTGCCACCCGGGTGCAAAACTGTCCCGCCCGGCGAGCCGGCCCCCGCCGAGCGGCCGCGGGGGAGGGGCCGCGGCGGCTTCGCCTCCGGGAAACATCCTCTGAGCCCCATTGGCTGCCTCGCCACCCCACCCCTCCTTCTCCCCGCCCCCCGGTCGTAGCTCCGCGCTCCCATTGGCGGAGGCGGCGGTGACGCGGAACAGGCCGGGCTGAGGAAGCGGAGTGAGGCGATCATTTGAGGTGGCCACGGGGCCGGTGCTAGCTGTTCACCCCGCTGGGCGCCCAGCTCCGGAGGTCTCCGTCTTGCATAAAGGCAGGGGAACGGGCGGTCTTCTTGAGGGGCGGCCTGCGGGTGCTGTCCGCCGCCTGTGCTGCCTTCCCAGCCGGCCGGCGCTGCCTCTGCACTTGCGTGGTGGTCGTTGTCCCGCTCACCTGGTCGGCCGCGTGGCCTTTGGCAGCGGGTGAGCCGGGGTGTGAGGGGCTTTGTGAGGCGCTTTGCGGGGCTCTCTGTGGGATGCCGCCTGTCCTCGGGGAGCCTGGCATGTGTGGGAAGGGCGTGTTTCCGAGCCCCCCGCTCTTCCCTCAAGGGTGGGTTCCTGCCGTGACGGGCTTACACGGAGCGAAAATCCCCCTTGAAAAGGGTGGTAGCGCGGAATGGGGGTGGGGTTGGGGGGGTGTGCTCCCCCGGCGCCTTGTGCCGGAGCGTGGGTGCCGCGGGCTGCCTGCCTGGGTGAGCTTCTGGTGCTGCCGGGCTTGAAGTGGGCTGCTCCCCTCACTGCAGATACCCTAGGGAAACAATAAAAGCGTTTTTAGGTGTACTTTATTCGTGCGTTTCATTATCGCTGTTTGTGTGATTAAACGCTGAGCTACACCACCAGATGTTCAGCGGAAGTTTCCCTAAAATACAGTGAAATCTTAATAAAGCGAAATCGGATGAGAAAATCCTGGCCGTGAGCCAGGCAGAGGCATATAATTTGAAATTTTTGAGAAGTTTGCATTTTCAAGTGTCAAATTATCGAGGTTATTTTATAGCTCCTTCGAGGCTTTAGCTCTGCAGTAAAAATTCTGCTCTGGGAGGGCTTCAGTGATTGCCACCCACACTTGTCTGCTCCACACCGGCTCTGAAACATCTGCTGCTGTGACATGGACAGCTCAGCTGCTTGTGAGGCAGCAGCTGAACCAGCACAATTTCCAGGCTAGTGTATTATTCAAGTATACGTGAAGTTCCTTATTAGAAATGGAAGTCTGTAACTTACGCTTGTTTAACAGCTTCCACAAAGCATCTGAGGTGCTTCTGGATTGGGGAGCAGCAGAAAGCCATTGGCCTGCTGTCACCAAGCACTCAGAGCTCTGTTCCCTGGTCACAAGCTTCTTGTCCCTTTGTTACAAGAGTTTAAATAAATACACCAACACCATGACCTGCAAACTAGTAAATTGTGCCTTGTACTTTAAAATGATCCTGTCTGTTCAGGCCTTGTACCTGAGTTAGTCATATAGGTGGGCATAATCAGTAAGCTTTGTACCTTATAATTTACAATTATAAAATGGTAGAGTTGAAAAATGTCTTTATGATTTTTTTGTCATTTTCTCTTATAAATGCAAAATAAAATCTAACAGCATACTTTTTATATTTCTACTCCTAAAATGCTAAGCATTGAGATTTACATCACTTCCTAAAAATGGCTGGTTTGCTATGTGAGTTCATGAGGAGGAAGTACTGGTTGATGGCTGCCACATTTTCTCACTGTTTCAACTTACACCCCCCCCAAACTACCCCCAATAAGTATCACCAAGTCAAATTCTTGTCAGCTATCTTTCCAGTCTTTTCCAAATTCAACACTCTTCCCGAGTGTTTGCATTTACTAATGGAAGGGCCTCACCTCAGAAAAGAAGGACCCAATTTAGGAGAAAAGAAAAAAAATCCTTAATTAGGAAAGGCAGTCTATCATGTATTTAATCTGAATTCTATAAATTCCAAGGAAGTAAATGGAATTTTCAGTTTATGCTTAAGCGTGCACATATGTAAGAATTTATATTATTTATTATGTAAGAACATATATGACCTTATATGCATATAAGTCGAACCATGTAAATGCATATAAGGTTCAATGAATGAAGGTTCAGGTTTGCCTCACCAGACTGTGGCAGTTGCCAGACTTCTACTAGTTGAGTCACTTTCACATTTCTGTGTTATGTTTTGTTCTGTAGAGGGTTTGACATTGTCACGTTTGCTGATGTATTTATTTCTACTAATAGCCCATTCACATTGGATACTCATCTTAGTAGCTTCTTTGCTACATGTGCTACATCTTTGATCTGTGCTTTATAACTGGAATTTCATTTGTTCACTGTAAGACTGCTGATATCATCAGTTCTGGTCAAATTTATATGTATCCACACAGCCAGATGCACGGATGGTCTAAATCACCTCATCGCCACTTATGTCAATACAACAATACTGATTAATATATCCTCATGAACTAGAAAATGTGTACAGATGCCCCTCCTTCCCATCATTTTCCATTTTTAAATAATCCTATTTCTGAGGGTTTATTATTTTGCTTTTTTATAACATAGCAGCTTTTACAATGACCTTCTGTTTTAATTCACGTGAAGAACTGCAGAGCAGATACCTGTTCTGGAGAGTTCCCTAGTTCCCTCAAAATCTGATTCAAATCAGCTACAGTTGCATAATTTCTCTCCACTCTGCTTCTTCAGAGGGTTATTATAGCTCTTCAATTTAAAACAGTTTCTAAATACACTTTTTTTCCCTTAATCTGCAGTTTCTGGGAGGGTGTATGTATGAAGTGAGTACCTCCTGGCTCTCTAGTTTTCTCAGCATGCTAAATTGATCTACCTATGTGGCTATTGCATCCTTATTTTTAGCAGCCTTCTATTGCCGATCTACACAAAGGCCAATCTTTCTTTTTGTAAAAAAGGAGTATGCAAAAGACGTCATATTCCAAGGGATCAGCATTTGCAAGTATTGCAGTGACTTTGCAGACAAAAGAAGAAAATGTCAGGGACTGTGGCAATGAGGGATTCAACCAAAATGTTTCAGAAGCCTAAAAAGACTGTCAGTCTTCACCCATAACTGTTTCTGAAACAGCTGCATTCTCTCCATGGCCTGGATCTTGCCATGGTAAATGTGGGTCTGGCCGCTGAACACAACTGCCTGTAACTGTAGGCAATCAGCTGGTCATGACCTGTTGCACGGTTGTGCTGTGCACAAGCATTATATATGCAAATGTTTTCATATATAATATGCATATTTTCACTACTATTAATAGTACTTCGATGGTCTCTAGGGACCTTGTCTCAGGAATATTTATTCTGCTACAAGGCATTTTAAGTAGTAGAATGCCTTAGAAAGCTTGTTTTATATGTCATGTATTGTACATCCACATGTACATACACAGATATGTATGCAGACATAGGAAAACTCATATGCTTGTTGCAGTTACGGTCTTGATGGACCATAATTCATAAAACAAAAATGCAAATGAAACAGGTCAAAATTGAAAAAGATTGTTGCAAGAGGAGTGGAAGGAATGAAGCTTTGTTTTCCATTTCTTCTGTCCTACACCTCCTTGCTTTAATAACTGCAGTTCCCCTCATGACCCATATGTCATCTTCATTAAGATCCCTCTATATTCCTCACTTTGGTTTTTGGCTTGCCACCTGTTCCAGCTTTACTTAATTCTATGACTGAGCACAACTATAAATGTATTCCCTGGTGAGCAGCCTGGCCAGACTTCTCAGCTACCCAGCCACCACGTAGAATTAGTGATAGCTGGATCTCTCCACCAAAGTGTCTGCAGGGTTGCAATGATTTACACAGCCATTATGATGTTTATAAAACATGTGGGAACTGAACACACTTGAGGCCCCTGTACTTTGCCAACTCTGGATTGAGTTAGAAGTTACTAGAAGAGAATTGACAGATAGAACCCACAACTTTAATTTTCTTCAGAATTGAGGCTTCCAGTCAAGTATTGGACCCTTCTGTCCTGCTGTGGTAGACATATCCTTGCTCATTGGTTGAGAACAAGCAGATCCATCAAAGACTTGTTGCTGCTCCGTGTAATGTTAAAGGTAGATTTAAAGGCCTGAAGTCTTAAATTCTGTTAAAGTATATATTTAATCACATATTCTCCTTCCCACAAATAGGTAGTTAAATATCTTTTAAAAATAGTAGTTAATTCTGAAAGTGAGAATTATGTTCTGCTATACAGGTGGTTGTGAAATGTGTTCTTGTCAATATAAAATGAAAGTGTTGCAGCAGGTCAAATACTTGTGAATAACAACAATTTTGGTACTCTGTTGTTCTCTGAACCATAAGAATCCTCATCACTACTCATCACTACAGTTCTTTAGGCATAGTACAAGATACACTTTAGCTTTTATAGGAAAAAATAACCATCTATACATAAGCAGTCAACCTAAGCTTTTCAGAGAAAGTACTGACGTAGTTACGCCAGCTCATCAAAAGTTCAGCAGTAACCCTGAACTGCTTCACTCTGTGCATCTACCTAGATTTTATTATGTTAGAAAAAGTAAAAAAAAAAACAAACCAGTTTTCTCCTGTGGTAAGTTTTTTTTCCTCCCCCCTCTCTTTGCCAGACATTGAGATGGAAATAACTATCTGTGCTTGACACAAAGAAGAAGTTAAAAATGAAAATTTAAATGGAAAGTGCAACTCTTAAATGATTTTCAAAGGTACTCAGATTTCCTTCCTAAAATTTTTTAAAGCTGTATCAGGAAAAAATTGGAGGCATAGTCAGAATGATCATATGTGCTAACATATGATTTAAGCATATTTCCAAGTTTTATACTAAATTGTGTTTTCCTAATGAAAAGACTGTCCAAGCATCTCTGTTGTCAGAATCAGTTTTTAATTCATTACTTTTTTCCTCCAATTTAATACTCTTTTATGCACACACACACAAATATATAAATAGGCACTTCTGAAGGCTGCTGTATTTGTCTTAGGGTTAAATTGATTGGAACTTCTTTGCACACTGCATAAAACTGTATTGGGTAATACATTAAAAGATTAGGGAAATTATAATCTACTGGAAAAACCCAACAGCATCTG